GAACAGCCCGCTTCCCAGTCCAGGTACTCTTTCGCAAATGCCTCGCCTGCAATCTGCCCATCAGACCAAAGTGTATATACCCACTCCACCACCACATCTCCGGCGATCATGCCCCATGATCACAACGGGCACTACTCGGCAAACCCCTCCCCCGCGTTGCGACCATCTGACCCACACCATTACTCGCTGGCCCCATCGTCGAGCCGCTCCACTGTAACTTCGCCGACTATCCACCCTTCGCCTGCGTTTAGTGCTCATACACCAACTGCCACATACTTCAGCAATCCATTTCACACTGGACCTCCTAGTACAGGGCCAGTCGCAGCTCCGGGTTCTTCACATGGATCGGCGCATTTCTCCCTCACATCACCAGCACTCAAGCCGCAAGCCGACCGAGAAGACCAAGAAGCTACCGAAGCCCTGATGATGCTAAACACAGATCGCCGAAGTTGGAGCGGCGCAAGGGGTATGAGTGTGAAAGAACTTCTTAGCGGGTAGGACTCGCTTGCACAAGTTCTACAAGGTTTACCTTGATCTCCTATGTACTGGGTTAACAAAAAACGGACGGTACCAGAATGGTTTAGGGCGGATGACTGATTGCTCGTTTGGCGCTGTTGGTATGCTCTGTTTTTCAGCTCCTTGGAGCTTTTTTTTATCCAAAGTATTGTGTGTACGTTAGTGTCATGGTTGTCGGATAAATATGGTCGGAGACAATGTTGGTGTAGATAGGCATGTTCCGAGCTGCACGTGGCAAAAAGTTTAATCAACACATCTGCAACGTTCAAGGCTCCGTGAAGTGATGGGAATCGCCTGGGTCTGGGCAGACATCAAACGCTTACAGTGTCGTTAGACGACTGTCATCCTGGAACATTGGTCTTCTAGAACCATAACAGGTAAGCACTAAACAATTGCCAAGCAGTGGTTGCTGCAGACAAAACAAGCGACCCGCGAGAAAGAACATCCTCTTTCCCCCATTCATGTGGAGATGCCGTTTCCTGATGTGTCAAGCATGCCACAGAACATCGCTGTTGATACTTGACATGTGTGTGTGTGTTGCAACCAGCCTTGAGACGTGTCAAGAACAACCCTGAACAAAGGGAGAGAGCCTCGATACTTGACGTGCACTTTAAGTTTTCCCGCCACCTGACATGAACAGCATCAACCCTTCCGGACATAAGAAAGTCGAAGGGGTTGGGGATTAGGGGTCCGTGCCTAGTCGTTCACGCCAAGTTGGTATTAACGTTTTTTCCCTTAGCTTTACCAGTCATCCCCTCCCTTCCCTTCCTTACCCTTCAGTCTCGATCTTCAAAGCCATACGCTATCAAGCCATGAATCTGGAAGTTTTCAATAGTTTTTTCCACCACATATTGCTTGTAATATATTTTCCTTTTTTTTTTAAAAAAAAAAAGGAAAAGAGAGTTTGGATATAAGTTTCTCCTTCTCGGCTTTGTCTCCGGTGTCTTTATTTATGTCACGATACGGGGAAATAGAGCAAAAGATGATGGGAATCGGAAGGAGAGAGAGAGAGAGAGAGAAGGCCTGTGTGTTATGGCTTTTTTTTTAGTGGGGGGCGGCAAGGATAGGAAAGTGTGGCACGGACATTGGACAAAGGAACACCCATGTGTTTGGTACACACTACACCAAACGAGGTCCCTTTAAACTTTGGCTCCGCCACATCCGGGACAGAGCCCCCCGTGAATCGCTGGCTATGTATGGGTGGAAAGCTGGGGGACGCGCCACCGCACAGCCAGTAAGCGGGCTATTTCTAAATCTGTTGACTTGGGCATGGGTGTTATTTTATCCGATGGAGAATATTGGGGTCCAGATCGGAAGTGATTGAGATGGGACTTTTTTGGACCCTTGCTTGGCCACTTGCAGCGGTGGTGTAGCATGTCAATTGCTGTTCTAGGCCCAGGGAACCTGTCTTTTCTTCATACTAGAGTACGTTTCGTGTGTGTGTCTTCGTGAGACTGATGGTTTGTTGCTCGTGCACGAGTGCTAACGGATTACATGACCGTGTATCCTAGTGGTATCGTGAGCCTTCGCCTCACTCACGGTCGGAGGTGAGACCCGTTCGTTGTGAACATGTACGAGATCCTGGTCGTTTGTTTTTTCTACATGGATGAACGTGTGAGTTGTGTCGAGATGTTGAACGTGCGTTCATGGGTTCGGTGCCTCCGTGATACCAGCCTGATTCTGGAAATACTTCCCAAGCTCTCGGTGCTTTCTGGGATGCCTTCTGGGATGCCTTCTGGGATGTCTTCTGGGATGCTTTCTGTGAGATGGCATATTGTATACCGTGTCTTGATGCAGCAGGAAAGGTCACTGCTTGACGGGGGGGTTTGGTTGCCATATAAAATGGCCGTAACACTGAGGATGGATTGCTTTTCTATTCTTCACTGCATCTTTCTCTGCTTGTGATTGTTGCTTCAAAGTAATCGTGCCAAGAAGCTTGTTTTTGAAAGATTTGATACCCAAAATACCGTAACGAGTGCTGTAGTTGTTGCCGTCGAGATGGCTGCTTTACCAGAAGACAACCGACCACACTCCAGCAGTGGCTCAGATACAGCAGTGTCGTCGACGTATAGTTCGGATACATACATCTCAGACTCAGAGGGGGAAGATGAATTGACGGAAAAGGTATGAAAACCACCCAAGATCCATCGATTAGTATTTCAGTGCCATCACAACAAAGATTGAATATCGTTATCCCAACACACCATCGGCCATCTCTTCAACGCAACATGGAGTTAACAACTATCCCAGGGAGTTCACAAAGCCGATGGCAATGCAAGCAAAGATATTGAAAAAGGCATCTCAAAAGAGGTAGACATTACGCAAAACGAAATCTTCGTTGAGAGATACCCTCTCTCAGACCTCGACAACAACCTCGTCGGCTGGGACTCGCAAGAAGACCCCAAGAATCCCCGAAACTTCTCCACGGGAAAGAAGTGGCTGCTACTCATCCTAGTAACAAGCCTAACAACTCTCAGCCCCATTTCCTCGTCCATACTCGCACCCGCCACACCATTTATCGACGCAGAATTCGGCAACACATCGCAGATGCTAGCCTCCCTGACCGTCAGCGTGTATGTTCTCGGATTCGCAGTCGGTGTCTTAGTCCTCAGCCCGCTCTCTGAGCTCTATGGACGCTACTGGGTGCTCAACTGCTCGAGCGTTGCCTGGTGTGGGTTTACCTTGGGATGTGCACTCGCACCGAACCTCGGCAGTCTCATCGCCATGCGGTTTCTCGCCGGTATGGGTGGGAGTCCGTGTCTTACCATTGGAACGGGCGTCATTGCGGATGTCTTTGTGACTGCGAAGCGCGGACTCGCGGTATCCATTTCATCCCTGGCTCTCCTCTTTGGACCGATTATCGGTCCCATTTGTGGAGGCTTCATTGCCCAGCGCGTCGGGTGGCGCTGGAACATGTGGATTATTCTCATTGCGGGATCCTTCTTGACGGGCAGTCTCTTTGCTTTCAGCTCTGAGACGTATCATCCTGCTCTCCTGCAGCGCAAGACGCTGCGGCTCCGGAAAGAGCTGGATCGGCCTGAGCTCCAGAATATCATGACGTACGAAAAGGGTGTGGAAGCATTGAGTGTCAAGCGCAGTCTTTGCAACAGCATCACACGCACGGTGCAGATGCTCGTCAAGTCGCCGATTGTGCTGTTCTGCTCGCTTTACATATCTTTTGTATTCGGTCTTCTCATGATGCTCTTTACGAGTCTCACTCCCGTCTTCATCGACACGTACGGTTGGTCTCCTGAAATGACAGGTCTCGCCTACCTAGGCATCGGCGTCGGCAATTGCTTTGGTGTCGCATTTGTTGCAAGGACTAGTGACGCAACGATTGTTCGGCTCACAAAGAAGAACAAGGGTGTTTACGAGCCGGAAATGCGGTTGCCGACTTGTGTATTCTTTGGTCTTATGATCCCGATATCTTTCTTCTTGTAAGATGCTTTTCGCTCACATCTCAATTCGAATACTAACGGACATACATAGGCATGGCTGGACAGCTCAATATCACGTCCACTGGATCGTTCCAATTGCATCACTCATCCCATTCGGTTTCGGTCTCATGGGTCTCTACGCCCCCCTGCAAACTTACATGATCGACTGTTTTCCCCAGTACGCTGCATCGGCTGTGGCCGCCATGGCGGCTCTCCGCTGTCTCGTGGGTGCTTTGTTACCGCTCAGCGGGCCACTCATGTATGAGAAGTTGGGTCTGGGGTGGAGAAATAGCATTTTGGGATTTATTGCTGTGGCGTTCATCCCTGTCCCAGCGCTGCTATATCGATATGGCAAGGTAGTACGGGAGAAGTATCCTGTGAAGTTTTGATTTCAAGGAAGGTAATTGATGGTTAAAGACACCGAAATGGGCTTTTGGATAGAGGGGTGTATTAGACGTTCTTCTACATTTCTTCGTCGGTATTGGCTCTATAGATTAGAGATGGAATCACGAGACTGAAAGGCATTGGTTGGTATGTCCACGAGACTGAGAGTGCTATGAACATCTGCCATACGTGTAAACATTGTCCTTGCAGTTCAAGTTGTGCTCACTGGACCATTGTTCTATCGATGTATTGTGCATTGTTAACACTGGATTCGACAAGGTGCTTATTAAGGTGCTGATCCCCTGCAATCAGTGCCAAGAGAAGGACTCGCCCTTCCAGAAGGGTTGAACTTAGACCCGTCTTTTGGGTGATACCTCCGCTGCTACAGATCGATGCTGATTTCATGTCTGCCGTAATATTTGGATTACCCAATTCAAGTTAGAAAATCAGTCTCAGTTTAATACCCAGATAAAGTGACGTTGAGCTCTTGAACAGGGATGATGCCAGAGTCGTCAGAGTTTCCAATAAATAGATGTCATTCGGACACGGTGAAATGTCATCACGGACAGTGGGCTCCCATGTTGCGGAGCGGACCACCGAGCCTGGTCCGTGCACCGAAACTCAAGCTCCGACGACTTTGTGATGTCGCAGTCTCCACTCGACACTTCATCATGGCCGAGTATTGGAAGTCAACAGTTAGTATAACACGCATAAAATCCTTGGGCACCAGCGACTAACATATTTTAGCCAAAATACTGGTGCAAGTTCTGCTCCACCTATGTAAAAGACACAAAGTTTGAACGCGCGCAGCACGAAGCGACTGGCCGCCACCAAGGCAACATCCAGCGCAGTCTCAAAGGACTGCATCGCGAGCAGGAAAATGAGAAGCGTAATCAAGCGCGCGCGCAGGCTGAAGTCGCGCGCCTGAATGGTTTGGTATCTTCTTCATCGGCTCCCTCGGTCGCGACTGGTGTAGGCGGGAAACCCACGTTCGAGAAGCGACCGGAGAAGAAAGCGACGTTGGACGATAGGAAAAGACAATGGGAGGAGCTGGCGGCTATGGGTATTGCGATACCTGCAGTCGCTCGTGGTGACCTGGCGATGGCGGGAGAGTGGAAGACAGTATCGGAGGAAGTGGTTGGAGAAGTGACCGAGGACGGTGAATTTAAGGCGACAGCTCTAAATAAGGGCGTACGGAAGAGACAGTTTGATGAGGACGAAGAAGAGCAAAAGGCCGCTGGAGAGCTGATCACTAAGAAAAAGGGCTGGGGAAACACTTTCAAGAACTTTCCAGGCAGCAAGGGAGGTGATGACGATATTGAGAGTTTGTTTGGAAAGAAGGAGAAGCCAGCTGTGCAAACACAGACTGAGGTGAAGAAGGAGGAGCCAGATGATGGCGTGAAAGCAGAGGTTGAGGATGATGCTGACACGAAAACACTAAAGGACATACCTACCGCAGAAGAGGCCGCAGCCAAAGCTGCTGAAGTGGTGGTCAAGAAGGAGGAGGGGGATGCACCGGCAGCACCAGCTGTTGTCTTCAAGAAGAGGAAGAAGGCAAAATGAAAGCCTTCACCATCAACATGTAGTGCAGACTGATGGATCAAAGTTGGGTCACCTACTATAGCTGGTATCAGCCCTGTACGTTGCGCGCTCAGTCCCTCCAAGAGCGGGTGACGATCATGATATAAGGGGCGTGCCCCACAGGGATACAGACGCGAAGTACTGGCTTCTCGTATGCTCGGGGAAATGTGGGTGACGAGAGCATAGATATGGTAAGATGATGAGGTTGGGCAGCGAGAGAAAGCGTCTGGGGGTGATGTCGCTTGCTTGGCATCAAGACAAGAATGTACCACGGCCAATAAGACGATTGGAGAAGGAGAGTGTACATATCGCGCTCAGCCGAGGAGCGTGTACCTGTAAGACCTTGAGCTAGGCATGGTAGTCATGTTGTCACATAGCTTGCACAATGTCCAGCGCTAGTACAAATATGATGACCTACTATTGCAACTTTCCCGCCGCTCGTTTAGTTTAACACCCGCTTTTCGATCGACGCATGCACCTAAACCTTAAACCCCTGCCCAAACGTCTGCCAAGTAGCGTCGACTGCGAGTTCGCGTCGCTAACGCTAGACAACTGTCGCGGTCCACCACCACGCCCTCGCCGTCCGCATCCTCTCTTTTCATGGTCGCGTAGGAGCATGCCCGAGCAGTCCGCAATCTTGACGCGACCATGCATCTCATCAAGCCACAGTGGTTGACACATCCCGGTGGGTCCACCTCTGCCCATGCTCTCTGTTGTGCACTTTGCATTCTGCTCTCGTCTTGCTGACATTGGCTCTCGTTCCAGGCGAACAAAAGGACTTTGAAGTATACAGCTGCCACGTCTCCCCCGATGGGTCGCGCCTGGCTACTGCTGCCGGAGGTTCGTTCATCCATCCCCCGGCCTCACCCTACGCGATGCGCTGCCCCCCCAACAAACAGCTGACACACATCACCCAGACGGATATGTACGCGTGTGGTCTACCGAAGCCATCCTCAAATCCAACGACCCAACATATACCAAGCCCAAGCAGCTCGCGGCCGTAAGCCATCATTCAGGCACCATCCATGCCGTCCGCTTTTCATCCAACGGCAAATACTTGGCATCTGGCGCAGACGACAAGATAGTATGTGTCTATGCGCTTGATAAGAATGCGCCCACACACGCGGCATTCGGTGGGTACACATGGCAGACAGGAGAGGAGCAATTGCTGATGGAATCGCAGGATCAAACGAACCCCCACCCGTCGAGAACTGGCGCGTCATTCGCCGCCTCATAGGACACGACAACGACGTGCAGGATCTGGGCTGGTCATTCGATTCTTCGATATTGGTTTCCGTGGGGCTGGACTCCAAGGTGGTCGTCTGGTCAGGCCATTCGTTCGAGAAGCTAAAGACGCTATCCAATCACCAAAGTCACGTCAAAGGCATAACATTCGACCCGGCTAACAAGTACTTTGCAACTGCAAGCGACGACCGAACTATCAAAATCTACCGGTTCAACTCCCCACCGCCCAATGCGTCTCAGCAAGACCAGGTCAACAACTTTGTCTTGGACCACACAATTACCGCGCCCTTCCAAACATCCCCTCTTACCACATACTTTCGCCGTTGCTCGTGGTCGCCAGACGGTGCCCATATCGCTGCCGCGAACGCCACAAATGGACCGGTCAGCTCAGTTGCCATTCTTTCGCGTGGATCATGGGATGGAGATATTAGTCTTGTTGGCCATGAAGGGCCTGTCGAAGTCACTTCGTTCTCCCCACGATTGTTCTACAGGGATCCGCCACGCCCAGAAAAGGATGGAACAATTACGCAACCAACCGTGACCATTGTCGCATGCGCAGGGCAGGACAAATGCCTCAGCGTGTGGAATACAAGCTTCCCCAGGCCATTCATGATTTCGCAAGAGCTGGCAGGAAAGTCGATATCTGACTTGGCATGGTCACCAGACGGAGAGACACTATACGCAACCAGCTTGGACGGCAGCATCATGACACTCGTATTTGAGACGGGCGAGCTTGGATATCCTGCCACGCTTGCAGAGAATGAGAAGACGCTTGCCAAGTTTGGTGCTGGTCGAAGAGTTGGCATCATTGAGGGTACAGATGCGCTACTCCTAGAAGAGAGCAGCAAGAGCGGGGAATTGAAAGGTGTCCAGGGCCGGATGGGTGCATTGATGGGTGATGGCGGTGCAGTCCAACCTCCTACAATTACAAACGGAACCAATGGCATTACCCCCTCGACGACGACGACGACGACGACGCAGACCAACGGATCCTCCGCTGCCGCCACTGCCCCAGCGCAACCGCCAGCTCCCGTTGAGCCCCCTCCGGATCAGAGAGTAGAAAAGCTGAAGCAACGAGTGACAGTCACAAAAGATGGAAAGAAGCGAATAGCACCAATGTTGATGTCGTCTTCATCAGGTGTGGGAGAATCTTCCTTGCCAAAGACACAGCTCCTTTCCGCAACAACAACATCCGGTGGGAGGAGTGACAATCCGCACAACATCCTCGATCTATCAAAGCCGTATGATGGATTTCCAAAGGGTGGTCTGGCCACTCTGCTTATTGGAAACAAGAGGAAGTTTGCTGAGATTGAAGGAGATGAAGACAAGCAGGTCGAAAGGAGATTGGCTGCTTCTGTGAAACCCGGAGGTGCTGCGATAGTGCTCAACAGCGAGAATGGCCTCATTCCGCCTGCAGCTGCACCGCCAAAGAACAACGAGGCGCATGATCCACCCAAAGTACTCAGGCCAGCCATTGTCAATCCATCGCTTAGTTTGGCTCAGGTGCGATTGGCGGTACCGAAAGTCAGGAGCGTCATCGTGCGAACTATGGATGGCAGTGAGCCACCGCAGAGTGGTGTCGATGCCAATACGGGCAAAGCAGATATACCAGACACTGTCATACTAGAAGCGCGCAACGCGAGCGGTCCATCACGGACTGGACGACCGCAAGATCATGATCCAACAAGATTGACTTGTACCAGCAAAGGACAGTCACTTTGGCAGGACTTTTTACCAAAAGCTGTATTGCTGGTAACTGGCAACACAAACTTTTTCGCTGCAGCATGCGAAGATGGTTCAGTGTACGCATGGACCCCAGCAGGCCGGCGGACACTGAACGCCATGATTCTCGAGGCTCAGCCCGTCATCATGGACTGTCGTGGCTGGTGGCTAATGTGTATAACGGCTGTTGGCATGTGCTACATCTGGAACTTGAAGAGCATGTCTTCGCCTCACCCACCTGTTTCACTGGCCCCTATCCTCGACATAGCAGCGTATGCGCAAGGTCCACACCTTACTCGATCGCCTGGTATTGTATTTGCACGCTTGAACTCAGCTGGTCGGATAACAGTGGCCATGTCCAACGGTGAAGGATATGCATATAATCCCGATATGTACATCTGGCAGCGCTTGTCAGAGCCGTGGTGGGGCGTCACCAGTCAGTACTGGAACTCTACGGACTCTTCAGTTGGCAATATCCGCTCGTCACAAGACAAGGCCGTGGCGAAGGAAAAGGACGACAAGGTTTCTCCAGAAAATATCTCAGCAGGTATCATACCCGCTCTCGAGCGCAACACAACGAACCAATCCCTGCTACAAGGCCGCGCTTTCCACCTCCAGCGACTGATCAAGATACTGGTCTCTGCAGAAGGTTACGAGACGTTTGAGAGCAGTGCCAGTGTAGCACATCTTGAGAACCGTGTCGCTGCAGCCCGTACCTTGGGCGCAAAGGAAGAGTACAAGATCTACTTTACTATGTACGTCAAGCGACTTGGCGCCGAGGGACTCAAGGGTAAGATTGAAGAGCTGTTGCGAGGTCTGATGGGTAATCTTATCACCGCTGGCGACGAGGATGGCGATGACAACAACAACGATGAAGAACAACAAGGCGCCAACGAAGCGATCAAAAAGCCATCTGAAATTTGCGGCTGGAAGAAAGAGGACCTGTTGAAAGAAGCTGTCTTGATTCTTGGTAAGTTTTTCTTCTTTGCTATCCTGTTCCTTGGTATACCCCAGATGCAAAAATGCGCCTAATTGCTAACATTGCTGGTTCAGGCAAACATCGCGATCTCCAGCGCATCACCGTACCATACGCGCGCCTCCTTGACATTGTAACCGAGGGTCAGCGCCAGGACGATCAAGCTATGATTACGGATATGTAATATATACCCTCTCCCTATTGTTCCTTATTTGGGTTTGTCTCCAAACACTCTGTGTCTATCTCTCTCTCTTACTATCTAACTGTCCGTCATTCTATCGTTTCCTTCCATCTTCTACTTTGTATTAGATACAGGCAGATCAAAAAGCCGTAGCTTCGTAGCTGGTCCTTGGACATCGTTTTCTTTTTTGAGTCTTGGTCTCTAGAACTCATGCAGAGACAGGACACAACATGTCTTTGGTAATAGGAAAGTGGGTGGTTGGGCGTACTTTGGATTTGTTTGTGGGCTTGCGAGGTTTTGTTGTGCGCAATAACCTTTTGCTCCTAAGGCGACTTTTTCTTTATTATTGTGCTATATTTTGTCGTGCCCAAAGTGTACGTGTGTAGTTGTAAATTATCTTGCTCCTAACTAAATCGGGGAAGACGAGACGAGCGTGGAGGGAGTTTTTGCTTTTTGAATAAAGAAAAAGGAAGAACTACTTATAGTGTTGGCTGTGGATAGATGTGTGTAGATGAGGGCATCACGCACAGATTTGAGGATGTGGATAGGTCTTTAGCAGAGTGAATACAGTAGTAGCATCTAATTCCATGTCAACTGAAATCTACAGGAACTTTTGCATGGGAGATGTGAGTTGATGCTTGTATCATCACGTGTACGTACACCACCTCGTAACATCATAAAAGGTCTTACAGTAGGAATAAGTCTTTGCGAATTATATTTCCACCGCAGCTACTAACGATTATTTTAGCAACTGATTACAATTAAAAAGGAAGACTACTCTAGAGATACATTCTAAGCCCTCGCATTGCAGATGTGTTCTAAGTTATTCTTGCTGTGCACTCTGCGCCACCTTCGCATTTTGCCACCTGGGACAGACACGCAGGCGGCCGAGTGGAGAGTTTCGAGTAAGATATGGATATAGCAGGTCGCTGCTAGTGTCTTCACTGAATTGATGCTGTGCTCCTGGCTACTTTGGAAACGAAAGAGGGGTCCTGGCTTCATGATTGGTGGACTCCAGGGGCGCTGGTCGAACCAATGGGTCTGGTAACTGAGATAGAAGCTGCGGCGGTGGTCCTGGGGAGGATAATGGTGGATGTGGCAGTACACGGAATTGGTTTCCCTGAAATTGTCTCGATAATGGTGAAGAGGACGCTGGCCGATCCCGCTTCATACTACTTCTTTTCCCGTGTGAACCGTCGAAACCTGCAATAGAGTCCGCTAGAATTCCCCTGTCAGGAACTTTGACTCTTGGGGCGCTGTGGGGGGCTACACCCTCGCACTCCCAGACCAAGCTCTGTTCAGTGCGCGAAAACGCATGCACCATAGATATGGCCTCAAACCTGGAGGGGTTTTGGGTGTCGTTAAGTAGATGCCCCATGGAAAGTGCGCATTCCTTGATGGCTCGAGCCAACGGGCCATAACGCAATGAAGTAGGCCAGCTTAGTATGAGAGTGGAGGCAATAGTGAGCAAATTTGCTACTGCTGTTGTCAAACCTTTGTCACAAACATGAGTGAAGTAGCGGAGACAGATCTCATACAATCTCCTGTTCCATAGCATATGATCGCGCTGTGCCATAAGGGGTGGATAAACACTTCTCTCAAATACCACAAGATGGTCTAACCACTTCTCTTCTGGAAGTGTTGATATGGCCAACTCGAGAAGATTCTTGCGGTTGAGATACTCGGCCATAGGTATGGCTACTCCGTCGGCTTCTACGTCCGATCCAACCCTTGCGGGAACTGGGCAGTACCTTGACTCTTGTACAGGGAGAGCCAGCTGCAAATATCTTTCTAGAGAACCGCGCACGAGCAAGTCAGCCTGTTTTTGAGAGAAAGATAATGGTCCAGAAGCTTGTTTATCGTGAAGGAAATCTTTCACAGTACGATGCAGTAGCTGTATCGTAAATCGTGGGCTGACTTCGGTGTTTTCGCTGAAACTAAACTTCTGATGGTGGCTTTGGGGGACTATAATCTCAATAAATGGCCCACACCTGACTCGGAGTTGCCGGTAGAACCCAATCCAGGACTTCGCCCTAATACTCAGCTTAGCGCGAATCATAGGGTCTTCTTGGTGAAGAAGGAAATCCGGTTCGAGGGCTAGTGGAATAGATATTGCTTCATAAAGCTCGTCCAGAGCAAGAGGTCGAATGGCACTCACACCTACAACCCACATCAGTGCCATTCTAGTCTTGTCTAGGCCTTCCGGATACCGCCTCTTCAGGTCACGCAAGATGAGGTTGTAGAATTTGACCAAGTTCATCGGCAAGGAACGTAGATCTGCCTCCAGCTCTTGTGTGTTGTAAAGGGCACCTCTAACACGTCCAATGAGCACTTGTATGGTGAGCTTTATCCACAAGATGACACCTTGAGTATGTTCCAGAAGGAATTCGCGCATTCTTTCGAAAGCTCGATCGTCATCATCTTGTACAGTTCTTATCTGGGGCGAGAGGTAGTGTGACGTGTCCAGCTCATCCTCTGTGTCAGTCTCAAATTCACTCATAGCTTCCTTGAGCGCAGCCAAACCGTTATCGATCAGTAGTGCTACGTCCAGAGTGTTTTCTCGTTCTAGAACCAGGTGAAATAACTTCTCCTCCTTTTTCCAAATCTGGTGTAGAACTCGATCAATGTCTGCCGTGTAACGACTCAGTACAATGAATCGAATTTGTGAGCCAGCTGATTCCACCAAGCGTGCCATAAGGGTAATGACCCGTCGCCTTAAGGAAAAGCTGCCGTGATCATCGTCAGATTCGTCCATGGCATCTACGATACAGATAGCTCGGGTGCTATGCGCAGCCATTTTGACCAGTATGTTCTCGTAATCCTCGAACTCCCAGTTTTCGCTTTGGTTCTTCTTTTCACGATACACAGACGCGTACATTGGAAAAACGTTTTTGTTTTGTTCCAAGAACTGACAAAGAATGGATCTCAAGAAATAGACATGAGATCTCGTGATGCTTCCGTGGCGTGTGCTGTAGAACCAGTCGCTAATTTGCGGCAGCGGAATTCCGCGACGATCTGATTCCCACGACTCTGAAAGTCCGGTCTTAATAGTTTTAGCGAGGACGGACTTCCCGCTCCCAGCTTTTCCTTCAATCCACAGTACCCCAGATGACTTGTTTTTCCATGCGACGAATGCCGGATGAGTCCATATCCATGTGTTCGTCCCTGTATCTGCAGCACTTACCTCGTCTCTGCGTAGAAATTGTCCCTCGAACTGAAAGTTGCCCAGACATTCTGCATTCGCTCATCAGCATGTATAGATAGTTTAGCTGGGAGATGCACATCTACTCACCGTCACGCTCAGTGTACCTGTTCAGTACTTGGGAACTCTTGACACCCGGAAGACTTGAAGTCTGGTCGAACGTACTTAGGATGAGGGAGACTTGTACACCAAGTATTACTGTGGTATTGCACAGATTTGCGAGAAACTCGATCGGCTCCCTACCGATGTCATGGAGTAAAACGTCAGCACGACAGACAGTGATGACAACAGGGCTACCCTGTATCTTAATCAAGTTCCAGAGGAAGGCCTTGAGTTCGCTGACTTCTGGTATTTTACATAGGCGTGAAGTTTGTGGATCTACCACTCCATACCAGTCCAAAAACAGGCCCATAGAACTAGTTTTCCATAGCAGAGCTTGAGAGACCAAAGACCATAGGAAGCTTTGCAGTGGAGACATGGCAAATGGTTCATCGTCTTCGCTCTTCTCACTCGGTGTGTAAAAAAGGTAAACTCTTTTGATCCGCGATACGCTGGGCGTCTCGCCTGATACCTCTCCTTGTTGTTCACCTCCAGGTACAATGGGCGGGCCGAGAAAGCTTGTTCCTAAACCGGCTTCAGACGTGGGAATTAGATGCTGGCGCTTACTCTTTCGCTTGCGCTTGCGTAGTATCGGTTCATTTGGTCTCTGAAGGGTACTGTCCAACTTCTTTGCTTGAGCAATCTGCTCCACCCGACGCTTTACCTCCCATCGCTCAAGATCTCCCAAGAGGGATATTGTTATACCTTCGCATTCGTGTTCCAGGTCAATGCCAGCACCGACTTCTGGATCTATGGTTTGATACCATATGATGTTCTCCACCTCTGACACAAAGCGCTCGTAAGGAGCCGTGTGAGAAAGCCAAGAAGGGGTATTTGGTGTGGCTTTGATCATCTCAGAAAGCTTGGCGTTCCACTCTTTGGATGTGACGTTTGTATCTAGTATGGTAGCTAACATACCACGTACTGATCTTGGAAGATGTCTCACAGCAGCTTGAACGATGCAATCTCGCCCTTCGTGAACGTCAGTGTCGGTCGGAATGTTCTCATCCTGGGAAAAACTAACACGGTTCGTTCTGAGAGACAGTTGAACTGTTCGCAAGCTTTGGGGACGTAGTATCCCAGCTTTGTGCACTTGCGAATCCTGAGCCTGAGTCTGCTGTTAACACCTCTAGATATCATGAAGGCAAAGGAGTCGTACTTGCAAGGGTTGAAGGAGTCAGTTTTCTGTCGGTTCGAATATATTTTTCAATCAGAGCTTTCATCGTAGCAGCAGCCGTTGCGGCAGCGAAAGTTTGCCACGACTTATCTTTGTGACTATCCGCATAATCGCAGACACCCTTCACAACAAGACATGGCAGCTCTTCCCAGAACCCAGCCCCCTCCATTTCAAATGCGATGACGTTCTGTTCTTTCGCAATCCTATCTCTGTCTTTTCCAGATTTCATAACAGTATCGCCTGAGGCAATACGGCCGACAAAAATAAGTGGTTCCTGGATATCTATACGCTCTTTTTGCTTTTCTAGTTCGTGTCTCATTTCAAGACGTTTCCGGGGCACCAGATTGGCATCCTCACATCCAGTTTGGCTACATGGAATACTGAGCGCCTCCTGGCAGACGGGATCCGAAAGTGCCTTCCATTGGCTGCAGATACAGGAACATGGACCATGATGTCTATGTCTGTGTTCCGGCGCGAAGAGTTTGTCAGAAGCAGTTCCTGGGTAGTTATAGTTGCTGCGGCGCCTTTGCGACGCTCGTTGCTGAAGCATCTGTAGAAAATACGAAGTCCTCTGCTGAAGGTGTCCTGAGCCGGCTTCCGAGCGGAGAAAAGCGATCAAACCTCGAATATCTGTATTTGGCCGACTGAATCCTTCACCAGTGGCCGTTCTGGTTGCGAAAGAATCAGGGTATCGCCGGCCGTAGTCGTATTGAACCACTGTCTCACTGATGATGACATCGCCCAACAGTATTTCGTCGTTGTTCCCGGCCCTTGGTACCCCACCGCATATGCCGACTAGGAGGACCAGCTTTATATCAGTGTAGCTTGAACGGAGGCCCCCTACGGCAACGGCAGCATTCACTTTTCCCATGCCAGGCAGCAGCGCAACAACGACATTATGAGTTCCTATGCGACCAGTCGTGTAACTATTACTATCTCCAACAGCTCTGCCATAAGAGTCCCCAGTTTCATCCCAAAACTCATCAACTAGGAGGGTGACAGCATCGTACTCGAGTGGTAAGGCGCACACAATGGCGATGTCAAATTGGCTGCGATATTCTGGCCGCTGTCGTCTGCCTCGTGGAGAATGTGGAGAGTCGCTCACCGAACGTTGGGGATCACTCATGGCAACTTCGACGGCCGAAGCAGGATATTCAACCCAAAAGATGATCGTATTAGCTTAATGGGATGAATGTCTGACATAGCAAGTGCTTCTGCTAACTACTACAGCCATAGGCCGTCAGCCTGGTGCGGGGCAAACACCAGCACGTGATCGTGGTGACTAGGTGGGCGTACGATGTTGGCATTTTTGAATGTCTGATCAAGTAACTATAACCGAATGCGTGCACTAACAGCCAAGGCTTCACAGAAACCCTTAAATGCCACACAGGACCAGATTTTATTGGTATGGCTTGTCATTCCTGCTACATAAGGAGAGATAGGTTAGGAATTGCTTGAACATAGTCATCAGAATATTACTCGTATATATGCTTCAATCTGTCGCTCAACATCACCTCGCATCCTTTTTCCCGCAGAAATCTTGAGAAGCACTCGATATTTCGATACTTGTTGTACTTATTCTCACCGACTCCATTTCACATGTGAGTAACCTCGCCTTCTCCTTTATTAATGGAAGATACGACCTTGGATACCAGGACCAAACATGTAAGTTGATACCCGTATCATTACGTGTCCATCATACTATATAATGATAGAAAGAAGAAGAATTGTCGTCATATCATATATTCTCATCTGTACATATCTGCCCTCCCATACATCACATACCCATGCCCCATCTACTTTCTAAAAAGCGTATTCCTCGTACCCACCAGCGGATTAGGCTGAAACTCCATGTCGGAGCCATTCGCAAAAAGCGGCGTAGTATCATCATCCACCTTACTCTTCGGCTTGAGTTCCTCTCCTCTCGCAATCTCTATAGTACTAATGATCGGCAGCACAAGTAGCAGCAGCGGAAGCAACTGCCCGAAACTCCAGTTACCCTCGCTGGGCCCAACAAGATGAACAGACTCGGGAGGCGAGCCAAACGCTTGGGACTCAAGGATTACACGCGTTGTAGCCCCGATACCCATGGCAAGGCACGCAAAGAGCCCGATTACTTGCACAGTCTTGAGCCAGCGCGGGTTGGACCGATTGTGCAGGTACCAAGTTGCAAAGCTAAACGTAACGACCTGGCCGGCGATAACAGCGATAGTACCCGCAACACTCAGCGCAGCGTTGTCAGACGAGCCCTTATTCTCTACATGCCAGACACACGCAATAGGGAGTCTGGGCGACATATTCTTCATGACAGTCTGCAAGATGAAGATGCCAGAGAGGATCCCAAGCGACATGTTGACGAACATGAGAAACTGGCGTATCCAGCGGAGCACCCAGTCGCGCTTGAAGTCGTTGACGAGGGCAAGCAGCGTGGCGAGATTCGTTGCGGTGGAGAGTAGAGACAGGAGCCAGATGATAAAGAAGTGGTAGGGCACCATAGTGTTCATCTTTGCGAGCCCGACGGATTGAATTCCGATGCCAGTGAGGATCTGCTGGTCCGAGAAGGATTGCAGCAGCTTGCGCGATATTGGTGCCGATGTGGATTTCCGGAGGCCGAGCAGGATGATGGTGGCGGAGAGGAGGATGGAGAGGATGTTTGTGATTATGAAGGATAAGAGGGTCTGTGAGAGCAAGACGTGGTTAGAATTTACTTGGGAATTGGTTGGCTGCGAAAAACGGAAGAATGGAAGTGTGCTTACGCCTGCACCCGCAACTCCAGCATCTGTGTTGGTTGTATCTGGGATTTTCGAGCAGTCCAACGACATAGTGGCTTGTGTTCTGTGTGTTTCCCTTCTCTTTGTTGATCCTTGACTCCACTTCCGCCTCTCGTTATCCAGGAGAAGCAAAGTCGTTGGGTGGAACGACCGGATCACAGTCGCAGTGCTATTCGCAAGTATAGTCCAAAAAAAGGCAGTCGCGCGTTGATTGATATCCTCCAAACGACTATGCGATGTCGTCAAAAGCCACCGATAAAGAGAAAAGAGTGTAGAAAGAGCGTGAGGTAAAGCGAGAATGGTGAAAGGAACAGGCGCAAAGCCGCCATACACCACCAGAAGGCGCACAGCCTCATCCTATGTCATCATCAAGCGCCAGGGTCTCGTATATCTCAATCTAAATCAAGTCGCATTGGCGAGCGTGCAATGCCGTGAAGGCCAGGGGTTAATGATCGGCGCTGTGAAACAAGGCAGCACCACAGCCAACAGTTGGCCTGTGGCTACTACGATCCGTGGCGCGAGAGCGCTTAACATGCGACATAGGGTGATTGAGCGAAACGCTCAGACAGGCCAGCCAGAATCGACATGCAGCACTTGGCAAAAGAACATGGTAGAAGGCTGAAAACTTGCACACATACAAAGTGGATAGAAAAAGGACATGTGCATCTCGAATCAGGTGGCGGCTGCTGTGCATACAGGGTCCAACTGCGGGCAGCACTAGGCCTTGGAGAGCTAGCACGCATCCCAAATTAGACGTTGGCTATCCTTGTCTCTGCGTTCCACACTGGGCAGTCAAACACCAACCTCTTGTGACCCCAGCATACTGAGCAGGCATACTGGATCTTGAAATGGACAACAAAGGAACCAAAGTCCTTCGAATCATACCAAGGGTACAGATATTGGTCAATCCAAGGATCAACACATAACCAAGCCCATCACAAGTGCAAGTCTGGCAAATTTTCATGTCCTTGTCCCGCAGTGGGAGGTGGTATCTCTACCATGTCGTTATTTTGGCTCTCGTCTAGCGACTGCTCATAAAGACGTCAAACCGTGAACCGAGCCCAAACCCTACCGTCATGATCATGCATACTCTTCGTCAAATAGTCATCAAAGCACCTCACGGCAGTCGTCTACAACTTCTGCATGGCAACAATGTCGGTGGACTGAACGTGGTCCTCAAACTCCTCAATCTGTTGCTGGAGCTCGTCTAGCGAGACCTTCTCGTCCTCGACGACCAAGTTGATCTGAAGCTTCTTGATACCGAAACCGACGGCAACCAACTTGGAGGCACCCCAGACAAGACCATCCTTCTCAATCGAGAGAACGTTGGCCTTGAGCTCGTCCATGTTTGTCTCGTCATCTACAAGTCGTCAGCACCGTCAATGGCAAAAAGGGCACCGTCAGAAGCTTACCCCATGGCTTAACGTCAAGGGTGACAATGGACTTGGCAGCAGGCTTGGTCTTGCCGGCCTTCTTCTTGTTGTACTCGGCCAGACGCTCCTCCTTGATCCTGGCGGCCTCAGCATCCTCCTCCTCGTCGTCACTGCCGAACAGGTCGATGTCGTCGTCGTCCTCAGCCTCCTTCTCAGGGGCCTTAGCGGGGTTCAGGGGCAGCTCGGAGGACTCGGGGCCGTAGGCAGTGAACTCCTTGGTTGGGTCACCAGGAAGCGAGTCGAACTCGCCCTGGAAGGTGAGGATGTGGTTGTACCAGCGCCATGCGTATGGGTACTTCTCGGGGGCAGGGACCTCCTTGATTTGCTGGAAGACCTTGACATCGGCCTGCGATGGGGAGTAGCTGTGGCATGTTAGTCGATGACTCGCCAATGCCGTCTGAAAGCAATGCAACAGAAATAACTGGATCAGAGGTGCGACAAGCGCTTGGGTTTGTATTCAGATAGCGGGGTCTTAAGCCGCCTCATTAACACGGACCAAATGTTCTCATCATTCGAGGGCTGGGTAGGGATTGGAGGCGATGCAGAGGGAGTGCACACAGTGTGCATGGTGGGGTAGCAACTTACCCAACAATGTAGGAGCGCGTCCTCACGTAGCTGTTGAGGAGGGTCAAGCCCGCATCGGAAACGAGGTCAGTGAAGCCCATGTTTGCAGGAATGAAATGTGTGTATTGGAAAGAAAGAATCGAAGAGTTGTGGGTGAAGGAGGAGTCAAAGTTTTTTTACAGCCTGGGGCTGGGAGGAGATTGCTTTCGGGCGCACGGCCCCGCGCTAGTACGTGCTCGACCACGATCGAGGGGCACCTTTCACCATGCTCGCATAACCGCTCGTGGCCTCTTATGCACCTCGGCCCTTAGTGCTGTTGTCACCCCGGCCTCATGTTTTTCCCCTCTACCCTTGGGCTTGTCTGTAGAACTCGTGCCGTTGTTGGCCTGGCCCGCCGCTCTTCGACGTAGAAGGTCATCGAACCACCGCGCATTTTCGCCCTCGCCCTCGCCTGAGCTCGCGCCATCCATTGATCAATACTATATTATGCCATCTCCATCTGCCTCCCAATTGAGCTTGCTCGTATTCTGAAATCCATACATGTCAAAATGCTGACCAGTAGAGCACGTATAGCCGCAAGGCGCATCGCATCCCCCTCCTCCATCGCACGGCCACTTCCCCTTCGCACTTCGCCATTATGCCTCAACACATTGGTGGCCTCGCCGTCCCAACAACACAGGATCCTGAGGCCGCTGGTGGCTGTTCGAGGGTATGCGAATGGGGGCCGGCCGCATCCTCCTGGTGGCACCCATCGCATGAACCTTGGTGGTGAGCCAGAGAAGCCTGCATTGGAGCAGTACGGAATAGACCTTACGCAGCGCGCGCGAGATGGCAAGTTGGATCCCGTTATAGGGCGAGATGGCGAAATACAGCGCACAATACAGATTTTATCGCGACGAACAAAGAACAACCCCGTCTTGATCGGAAAGGCCGGAACAGGAAAGACAGCCATCCTTGAGGGCCTAGCCCAGCGCATTGTCAAGGGAGATGTACCTGAATCGATACAAGAGAAACGCGTCATCTCTCTTGATCTCGGCTCCCTAATTGCTGGTGCGAAATTCCGAGGCGATTTCGAAGAGAGACTCAAGAGTGTGTTGAGGGAAGTCGAGGAGGCCAACAAGGGTGTTATTCTGTTTGTGGACGAATTACACACCCTGTTGGGCTTAGGCAAGGCAGAGGGTAGTATCGATGCCAGCAATCTCTTGAAGCCCGCGCTCAGCCGCGGAGAGCTGCAGCTTTGCGGAGCAACCACGCTTAACGAATACCGCCAGATCGAGAAGGACGCAGCACTCGCAAGACGATTCCAGCCGATCATTGTTGGTGAACCCACGGTTCAAGACACAATCTCCATACTTCGTGGCATCAAGGAGCGATACGAGGTCCATCACGGTGTGCGCATCACCGACAACGCTTTGGTCGCCGCCGCTTCCTACAGCAATCGATACATCACCGACCGCTTCCTTCCTGACAAAGCAATTGACCTGGTAGACGAGGCTGCTAGTGCGCTACGTCTGCAGCAAGAAAGCAAGCCAGACGCAATCCAGGAGCTGGATCGCCAGATCATGACTATTCAGATTGAGCTGGAATCACTCCGCAAGGAGACCGATATTGCTAGCAAGGAGCGAAGGGAGCGCCTCGAGGAAACGCTCAAACAAAAGCAAGAAGAAGTAAAGGTTTTGACCGAGAAATGGGAGAAGGAGCGAGCAGAACTTGAAGCTATCAAGAATGCACAAGAGAACCTCGAGCGGGCAAAACTTGAGCTCGAGCAAGCCCGCCGCGAAGGAAACTTTGCCAAGGCTGGTGAACTGCAATACAGTAGGATCCCGGAACTGGAACAAAAACTTCCCAGAGACGAGGAAGTGACTGCGGGAGCGAGCCGCCAGGGCTCTTTGCTACACGACTCTGTTACGGCAGACGACATTGCATCTGTTGTCTCCCGCACGACTGGTATTCCACTGTCCAAGCTCAATTCCGGAGAAAGCGAGAAGCTCATACACATGGAGGACACTTTGCGTCAGTACGTCAAGGGCCAGGACGAGGCCTTGACATCTGTTGCAAATGCGATACGTCTTCAGAGAGCTGGACTATCTGGCGAGAACAGGCCTATTGCATCCTTTATGATGTTGGGACCAACCGGTGTAGGCAAGACCGAGGTTTGCAAGAGACTTGCAGAATACCTGTTTAGTACACCGCAAGCTGTAATTCGTTTCGATATGAGCGAATTCAGTGAGAAGCACACTGTGTCGCGTCTTATCGGGTCTCCTGCCGGCTATGTCGGGTACGAGGATGCTGGCCAACTTACTGAAGCTGTGCGACGAAAGCCATACGCCGTTCTCCTCTTCGACGAATGGGAGAAGGCCCACAAGGACATATCGACCTTGCTCCTCCAAGTCCTCGACGAGGGTTTCCTGACAGATGCGCAGGGCCACAAGGTGGATTTCCGCAACACCATCATTGTCATGACATCTAACCTTGGGGCTGACATCATTGTCGGTGACGACGCTATTCACTCCGTTAACAAGGACTCAAGCGAGATCTCACCTGCAGTACGCAGCGCAGTCATGGATGTTGTTGCTGCCACATACCCACCCGAGTTCCTTAACCGCCTCGATGAATTCATTATTTTCCGCCGTCTATCTCGGGAAGCACTCAGAGACATTGTCGATATACGCCTGAAAGAGCTTCAGCAGCGACTAGATGACCGTAGGATTGTTCTCGAGTGCCCAGATGAGGCCAAACAATGGCTATGCGACCGAGGGTACGATCCAAAGTTTGGTGCGCGGCCCTTGAACAGACTGATTGCCAGAGAAATTGGCAACAGTCTCGCAGACAAGTTGATCCGTGGTGAGATTCGCAGTGGTGACAAAGCCACTGTTTCAATCAAAGAAGGCGGTACAGGCCTCACGGTTTCTGCAGCAGCTTGATGCTGCATGACTAATGACGACATGAATGTATAACAGACTCTAGAAGGACCATTGCATGTATATAACGTAGCATCATCGGCGTTTGTAGGTAAAAAATCTCTTTTCTCTGTAGATTGCAATAATGACAATGATACCCTGCTCAAGGTTGTGTTCTTGCAGGTCGCGAGAGGCAGGCGTGCCTCCGCTCCTTCCCTTTTGCGTGTCAGTCCTCTGCTCACTGTCCCTCACCTCTGATAACTCGCAACACACAACTGTTGTTAATCCCATAGCTATACACAGTCATGCCACGCCGTCCTCCCTTCAAGGCCCCCTATCGGCACAAAGGCGCCCATGACAGCAATCCTCGCGAGAACACTCGTTCTACATCCGCCTCTACCACCACCTCACGGCGCTCTTCAGTGCGGGCGGATCCAACTGCGCGGTCTGGGACCAGCAGACCCCAGGTCCAGATTCGTAGAGGGCCGTTCCTGGATGATACGTCCCTTGACCTGCCTTCTGAAGCGAGTCATCGCGTCGATGAAAACGATGGCTTGCTGAATGAAATCGTCATGGCTGTCGACTTGAATACTCGTGGAACAGTGGGTTGTTGCTACTATATTGCTTCTGAAGAAAGGCTTTATTTCATGGAGGATGTACAGTTTGGCCATGTTGATGTTGTCGACTCTTGTAGGTGCTTTGTCAACCGGCATGGCTCACTTACTTATTGTGTCAAGTGAGGATATACATCGACCCTACAGTCATCCTGGTCTCCACCAAGATCGACGACAAAGTCATTGACTGTTTTGACCCTGACGCCAAGAGCGGCGACAATGACCAATTTCGCCTTCCATTTCTGCTCGAAATCAGACCACCGAGCGAATTCAACTATGATTGTGCAAAGAACAAGCTTGCAAACCTTCGTTTGGGAGAAGATGATGATACCCACATCGAATTCAACATTCCAGGAGAGCTTGCCACTGTAGGCCATCCGGGAAAAGGCCAATCAGCAGGTCAGCAGGGGCAGCTTCTCCGACTCGCAGGGTGGATTGATCTTGAGAGCCGCTCAACGGTACTTATTGACTTATTGTGTAACACCGTAATATTTGCTAAAGTAAAGCAGGTCGGATGCGCTGGAGCACTGATATCGTATCTGCAACGTCGACGAGCAGCAGCGTACCTCCCCGGTGATCGTTCCGCAGATCTCATGTTCCGCATCTCGAAACTGGAAATGTGCAGTCTTCGCGAGACCATGTTCATCAACACCGATACTCTTCATTCTTTACAGATCATGGGGGCTGAATCACATCCGAACTCGCATAATAAGGGTCCGACCAAGGCCACCTCGGGCGACAAAGAAGGTCTATCTATATATGGCCTGTATCATCATTTAGCACGAACACAGCAAGGAAGGTTTCTCTTAAGACAGCAATTCCTACGCCCAAGCCTAAACCTGGATGTCATCAATGAAAGGCTGGATACCGTCAGTATCTTCACTCGTCCTGACAACGACTCAGCACTACAAGCACTTGTTAAAAACCTGAAAAACCTGGGAAACATGCGCGTCACGATGGTCAATCTTAGAAAAGGAGCAAGCAGCTCGACAAGAGGGACTGGAGGATTTGCCAAGAGCATATGGATGTCTATCCGAGCCGTATGTACAAAACATGCATCATGTAAGTGTCTTTCTTCAATGAACTGATTATAGCAGTTTGCTTTTCATGCTCTGAAGATCAAAGACACACTTCAGGATGTTATCGGCGGAGAAAACCTGGTCATCAGAAATAAGGTAAGCGCTCACAAGAGATAACTAGATGTGGACACTTTCCCACTACAGGCATGTGAGGTTTGACTACAGTCTCTTTACTGATTGCTGCAGGTCTTCGAAAAGCTCGAAGGTTACCACCTGGCTCAGATTGGGCGAAAGATCAGTGAAACCATTGACTTAGCTGGCTCAGCAGAAGAGGGTCGCACTGTCATCATGCCTGGCATCGACGAAGAGTTAGACCAGATGAAGTTGACTCTAGATAGTCTTGATGACCTCCTCAATCAGGTAGCGAGAAAATTATCCGAGAAGATGCCTTCTGGTCTGCGTAGGTGATACAGCTTCTGACAGAAAGATGCTCTTCAGATTGGCGCAGCAAAGAGTTACTAACTTAGCTAGGTGCTACTCTGAATGTAATCTACTTCCCTCAGATAGGCTTTCTCTGCACAACGCCGATTGATCCAGATACAGGCGGTGCAGTTTACGATGGCAGTCTCGACCATCCTTGGGAGAGGATGTTTGCAACGGAAGATCAGATTTACTTCAAAAACAGCGAAACGAGAGAAATGGATGAGCACTTCGGCGACGTTTATGGCATCATTGCAGATAGAGAGATTGAAATCAGCCATGAACTCGCCCAATATCTGCTCCAGTACGAAGAACTCTTGACTAGCTGTTCTGATATCTGCGGAGAGCTTGATAGTTTACTGGCCTTGGCTCAGGCTGCAAAGATCTATAAGCTTTGCCGTCCCGAGATTACGTACGAAAACACTATACGCATCAAGGGAGGACGGTAGGTTAAGATGCATGAGACGCGTTATTTTGTTACTGACATCATCAGTCATATGCTCCAGGAGCTTTTGGTGTCTTCTTTCGTCGCAAATGATACTGCAATGAAAGGAGGCGACGGAGAGGTCGCAAGTGAGCAACATGACGACCGTCTGTTTACCAGTCCAACAATCCGTCAAGCGCATGCATATGAAAACAATCCGAGTATGCTCATATTAACTGGTCCTAATTACTCAGGAAAGAGTGTATATCTCAAGCAAGTTGCTTTGATTGTCTACATGGCGCACGTTGGGGGATTTGTACCGGCAGACACTGCAAGGATCGGGCTGACGGACAAGATCCTCTCCCGAGTTACTACGCGCGAGACGGTGTCCCATTACCAAAGCTCTTTTATGCTTGAATTGCAGCAAATCTCGCTTGCTCTAAGCCTAGCCACGCGCCGAAGCCTCCTACTCATAGATGAATTTGGTAAGGGCACTGCATCAAGCGACGGAGCCGGCTTAGCTTGCGCAGTTATGGAATACTTGTTGAATTTGGGCAGCGAAAGGCCAAAAGTTATCGGAGCCACCCACTTCCATGGTATGAGAGTATACTCTGTTTACAGAACGTTCTGACGCGCTTAGAAATCTTTGAGATGGACCTACTAAAACCTCGACCTACACTTGGATTTGGATACATGGAAGTACGCGTTGATACTGAAGCGAAGAAAATCAACAGCCAAATCACCTACCTGTACAAGTAATGCGTGTTCATGCATATCGCTTGCTCAGTGCTAACTATATCTAGCTTCCGAGAAGGTCGAAGCACCTCGAGTTTCGGCACGTGGTGAGCTCATGCAGCGCTTTCTACCAGGTCGATACTAATGCCGACATTAGCTGTGCTGCCATGAATGGCGTTCCATCTGAGATTGTACAGCGTGCCGAAAACCTTATACTTCTTGCAGCACGGGGGGAAGATCTTATTTCAGCATGCTGTCAAGTACCAGAGGACGAGATAGTCGAGCTAGAGGAGGCAGTAAGTGTGGTCTTGAATTGAGTGGAATTGTCTAAATCCAATTTAGGAGCAGATCGCACGGGAATTCCTTAAAGCGGATGTTTACCGTGATCCGATGTCCGTGCTGTCCGACATACTAACAGTCTCCACATGATCATAGTACTAGTACATATATCGCTTGACTTTTTTCTCTCTGTTTGCTATATAGCGTATCAGATCAATTATCTTAGAAAAGAATAGCAGGCCACACCCTAACCTGCCAGA